GTGTGACTGGTTTGAAACGTCCGGCTGTAGCATGAGCTTTCGTGGATTTATTCTTGAGTGAATTGAACATGGCTGTAGATTCAATGGTGAACGGCATGGATGAAGTAGCGGCGCGAATGTCCTGATATTTTTCACAATAAGCCCGCACATATTTGAACGTCGAATTAGACAGCTTCAGAGGTTCATTTTGCAAAACGGTATTGTTGATGCCAGCGATCAGTCGATCTTTCAATTGCATGTCCAGTAAATCTCCAAAATCACACTTTTCAGCTTCAGTGAGCAAATCCAGGATGAATTCACGGATGCCCTGGATCAGATTGCGTACCAATGAATGAAAGTTTGCTCGTTCTGAGGCTTCGAAGTTCGTTGGTTTCACATGCTGGAGGAGGAGGGGTTTTAAATCATCGTACGGTACGGAAACAGGTGGAGAAGNAGCTTCAAGCACTGACCCACGATTGTGACTGAACAATACTTTCGGCTCCTATAGTATTCGGAATAGTATTTAAAATGGGATTCCAGAATTCGCGCAATACCAATCCCCGAAGTAGAACAACTTCGAATGGAATAGCACACGAACTTTATTAGAATCGTATACTATGCATATTCAATGCATTTAAAGTGTAGAAGGAATTTCGAGGTCAGTGTCACACATCACACGGATACAAGCTGAAGACTGCCACTTCACAAGCACTGATGATTTCGCCTCGGCTGGTGATGAAACGTTTGCCAACAAATTGCCAAGCTCAGCGAACAGACGAAATGGAAGGCGCTCCTGCCATTCGTAAATTCAACCAACCAGCCACCTTTAGTGAATGCTGCACCTGACATGGACTCATACGTTATCAACTTCAAGTTGTTACACTTCAGTATGNTTTAGATTAACCAGTTTAGATTAGCCCATTCGATTCAGTCACTCTTGGTGCTCTTGCGTGTGGGTTTGACTCCTTGGTGGGGGGTCGCCATTTTCCAACTAGTTTAACGCACTTAAACACAATGGAAATATTTGTGATGAACAAAAAGGAGCGTCAGACACCCAACAGGGACAGGAAACGTTTGCACAGCTGACGAGACCGAGGCAGGACTAAACAGCTGACTGCTTTATCCGACGGTGCTGAATGTATTCGCCGCGTGTACGTTTTTCAACGGACTCATCAACGGCTGCTAGACTGAGTCTGACGCAGTCGTTACTTTTCATTAAGAAAACGAGTCGGTGAGCGAACAGTTGTTTTAGGATATTTCTAGTCATGCTCTTACATATCATATAGTGGCAAATATAATGGTTACGCACTCCTCTATGATAATTTACTCTTTTAGGTGCGTCTGTGGAGCGTGTTACATAGGTTGTACGGTAGGGCATTTGTCTCAACACGTGAAGGAGCACCACCCGCAATGGTCAAGTCAGGAAAAAGCTGGCTTTATCTCAAGCGCTATCCCTGGTCATCTTGTCGATACCGGACACGAGATCGAACCGGAGAAAGCTTTCAATGTGGTTTATCGCATCCCAATCAATTCATCAAGGGCGGCCCCCGTTTGGATACTGGTTATGGTCGAGGTGATCGCCATTCGCTTAGTAGGCGCTACTAATAACCCCTGCCTCACCTATAAGGTGTTTAAGGCTGGGTGTCTTGCGTGTAATCAGTCCCACCTCAAAGCGACCTACACATAAATAATATAAATAATTCAAACCAAACAATCCGTTAACAATTAAGCCCCGAAGCCCGTTGTTTCGTGTTCATAGAAGCATTTCCTACTGTATTGACATAGGGAACTGTTCATTCATAAGCCATTTGGCGTCCCTTCCTGAATCATTCTGCTCTTCTCCAGCTCCATTGCAGCGCTTCTTTCGAAATTATAAATGTTTCATCTTCAGAGTATACCTGCTCTTCGAACTCGTTTCTGCTCATATTCTGTTGAACGGATATTCCATTTTCCAGTTTTTTCTTGCAAAATGTTTTTCATAAGACAACCGTCTGCATATCACTGTAACGCGAAACCAGAAGATGAGTTCGCTGGACAATATCAATTCGTGACACACTAAAAAAATGATCAATACAGATAATATGCACAATACAAATTTAAAGTCATGTAAGTTTCGCGAGTTCACGGAGGATTTCTTGTCCTTTAGTCAATCAACAACAGAACGGTCTGAAACGAGAGCAAGACGGCATAAAATATCACAGCGTTCTAGAGTGTCAATGGCATTAGTCTCTTGGCATAAGGGTAACAATAATCATGATAGTAAATGGCGTCAAACAGAAAAACACTGTGACAAAGGCAAGGCTGCATCAGTCGGTCGGTGGTTTTGGTTTCGGTCACACCGCACACTGTCCCCTTCTCCTTTAAGGCTCCGTCCCCAGAACCGTAGCGAGTACGCCTTCCACTGCTACCTCCATCTCGTACCCCACTGGTGGCACCTCCGGTTGATATGGACTACCATGGATCGTTCTTTACCCGGTTCTAGGCTTCAAATCGCGCAGTTGGTCTCGCTGATTACCCGCTCGACGACGTAGGGCCCTCTCCAGCGAATGGTGAACTTTGCTCTGCGAGTTGGTAGTTTAATGTTCTTAAGCCAAACTTTGTCCCCGACCGCAGACTGAACAGCATACGCCCTTTTATGGTAGTAATCTTTTTTACGTCTCTGCGCTGAACCCAGGTGTTCACGCGCTAACAATTCCCCCTTCCGAATGGCGTCCCTTAGCTTTACCACGTACTCTTTGGCGCTGGAGAACGTATCATATAGCAAGGGAAGTCTCAAGTCGGATGGCAGTCTCATTTCTCGCCCATTTCAGAGAAATCTTGGTGTTTGCCCGGTTGGCGCATGCACCGACGACCTGTACGCCATCATGCAAGCACCCGGTTTCTTGTCTCAGTGTACTTCACTATCCACGAACACCTTCAACATGTTTATCACGGTCCTATTGGTTCGTTCCGTTTGCCCGTTCCCTTGCAGATAGTATGCAGTCATTCTAGTTTTGTCGATCCCGAGTGACCTGCATAGCTCCTAGATTAATGCGCTTTCGAAGTTGCTACCCTGATCCGAATGCAGTTGGCATGATGCGCCCCAGCAGTTCACCCAGTGTCCAACAATGGCCGAGGCTATGGTCTCCGCGTCCATTCGATCCAATGGAACCACCTCGCACCATTTTGTGAAATAATCCACCATAACTAGAATAAACCGGTTCCCGCGGTCAGTTTGTGCCAGGGGGCCCACAATATCGAAACCAACGATCTCGTTCGGGTATCCTGCCTGAATCGGTATCAGTGGGGCCCGGGTCTGATGAAACGGTGCCTTAATTCTGTCACAGTGCGCACAATTCCGACAAAATTCTCGTATGTCCTTCTTGATATTTGGCCACCAGAACCGTTGTCTGTATGTCTCATCCATTTGTTCACTCAAGCGTGGCCCAGTTCTGTGTGTAGGCACGTAATGGCATATTCCCCTTTTGACTTCGGGACCACCACACGCGTCTCGTCACAGTAGTCATACTTGAAGTACACCACACCGGCTTCCAACGATAAGTAGTTCCATATGGCCCATAAACACCTTGTTTTACAGCTTTGGCCAGCGACTTCCCGATTGTCAGGCTTATCCTTCCCAATTTCAGGTGATTATATATCAGCACTGTGTCTGGGTCGCTTTCTTGCATCTGTCCCCACTCACCGTTGGTTCTCTCAACAAGGTTGACTTGTGTCACGAATTGGATGCAGGACGGACAAGGTCCTTGCTCCCTGTAGGGTCTTCTTGAGAAGGCGTCGGCGTTTAGGTGTTTTTTTCCTTCTCTATGCTGACAGGAAAAGTTGTACTCCTCCATCTTTTCCTACCACCGAGCGACTTGGCCTTCAGGATCCTTGAAATTTCTTAATCACGTCAGGGATTGATGGTCGATGCGGATGAGGAAGTGCCTCCCTAGGAGATAGTGTCTATACTTCTTTAGGAATTGGACAAGTGCAAGCATTTCCTTTCTGGTTGTACAGTAATTTTTCTCCTGATAACTCAACATTCTTCTGCCATACGTGATCACCTTTTCTTTTCCCTCATCGTCTATTTGAGAGAGTACAGCACCAATCCCATCGTCGCTGGCATCGGTATCCAGGATGAGTTGTCCACTCTTCTGGCCCAATTGTGGTAGTGTGAGAACGGGTGCTGTTGACAATGCCTTGCGGAGGGTCGAAAACGCCTGTTCGCAGTCCTCTGTCCAGTGGAACTTTGTTTCCTTGTGTAATAACTGTGTCAATGGGGCGGCTATTTCTGAAAATCGAGGCACAAACCGCCGATAGTACGACGCAAGCCCCATGAAGCTGCGTACTTCCGATTCGTCGCGAGGTTGGGGCCAGTTTCGCACCTTATTTACCTTTTCTTCGTCAGTCTGAATGCCTTCGGCGGAGATCACGTGGCCGAGAAAGCGAACCTCTCGTTGGAAAAGTGTGCAGTTGGCGGGTTTTAGCTTCAAACCGACCTTGCGGAGACAGTCAAATGTGGCCCTTAGATTCGCCAAATGTTCCTCCTCGGTCTTTCCGTGTACTACCACATCGTCCAAGCAGACAAGACACTGCCGTGGGATCAGCTCCATGAGCACTGAAGACATTAGCCGCTGGAATGAAGCCGGTGCGTTTGTCAATCCAAATGGCATCGTCTGGAATTCGTATAATCCGTTTGGCATGGCGAATGCTGTCTTCTCTTTATCCTTCTCTTCTACTTTCACCTGCCAGTACCCAGATGCTAGGTCAAGAGTTGAGAAGTCTTTTGCTCCTGACAGGGCGTCGAATATGTCCTTCATTATTGATAAAGGAGAACAGTCCTTCTTTGTGATTTCGTTTAACTTCCGATAATCAACACACAGCCTGATTGTTCCGTCTTTTTTCACCAAAACAATAAGGGTAGCCCAGGGCGACTTTGATGGCTGGATCACGTTTTTCGCCAGCATCTCCTTCACCATACTCTCCAATTTCTGGACATAACAACTTG